AAGAGTGAGCAAGGTAGAGAAATTTACTTGTAAGAAATTATCTTGAAGCAGCCATTAAAAATCTATCGACAAGTTGTCGCGATCATAATTGATTTTTTACGATGTTTTATTTACGCACGTTATCCGAGTCGAAATTTTGATCCTACTTTCAGTTTCACTATTTCATTCAACATTTATTTTGATATTATGAAGCCTACAATACAACCTATTTTGACGATAAAAAAAGGGAAATTTTGGACATCATCAGAATTAAAGCAGAAGCATATTGTATCATTAGAATTAAATCTACTTTGCTAACTTAGCTCCTACTTGTAGAATTCAAAATTTAACATACAGTCAAAATTTTGGCTCGGGTAAAACCGTTAGATCAAAAAATTTCGTAAAGTTGTCTCCCCTTTATGATAGATATGTGTGCTAAGTAACATAGCGATTTGTGTAGAAATTACGCAGACAATCACAAATGTCTCCAACGAAATTGTGCGAAAGTATCAATTATCGTGATCTTTATTGACTTACACGTTGACGGGTATAAATATTCATTTTCTTCGTCCATAAAAACATTACAGTAATCTTTTAGCCGTTACAAGAAAAGTATGTGGCTATATTTACACGAGTTCAATTACAATGATTACACTTAGGAGTACGCGAGTGCTATTTACCTATATTACATATGTATACGTAGTCGCACCGACGCAATAAACCGCAAATTATCAAAAAGGCCCAAACGCACCACAATGGCAGTGTCGTCGTAGTGATCATTTCACACGCAGACGAATCGCGATCGACAGTCGTGCAACAACAATCGTCGTAAATGTTAAATTGAGACCATCGCAAGATACAGGCAGTACAGAAGTCGCAATTAATTAATATGAACTCGATACACGGCGTATATGTATACACATCTTTTCTTTTTTCTTGTTTTGTTGGTACGGACTGTTTTTTAACGGACCCGAAAAATTCGTGAACTCTTTGGGAGCAAGATTGAACGCATTTCAGTGGCACAAAGAAGAGAGAAAGCTTCGTCGCGATTCCGCGATCGGCCTCTCGAGTGAGGACCAAGAGTTTCGACTCTTTGCGCTACGGTCGAACGAAGTGGAAAAGTATCATCGAGACAGCGAAAACATCGATTTTCGTTTGGACAGTTAGACACTCGGACGTGTTTCGCTTTTATTTACCTTAGGTGTACACCGGCGGAATACACACACACAGTGTGTGTGTGTTTGTGTGTGTGTGTGTGTGTGTATATACTGTATACGAATTTTGTTGTATAAAACACGAGTAAGGTGCAGTATCATAAGTGGCGGTCGCAGTTAGCGTAATTATTCCCGTTACCTCGATGTAACTTCGATAACGAAAGCGATCTGTACGTCGAATTGAAGCCGTACACAGAGAAAAATGTCATTTTACTGCTGAGAGAAGCGACTGCTCAGTTTACTCTCCTCCTTTTGAATAATTATCTTCAACGGAGAATATCTTTTCGATATGACACTTTTAAAATATACTTGACGCATATTTGAGAAAAGCTCATTATCACGTACTCAAAAGAAGAATTTATTCTCTTCACAGGAATATTGTAAAACTAGCCGAAATTTTAATCCTACTTTTGGCCTGAACTGTCTTGCACTTATATATTCTGAGGAATTAATGTATGTTTAATCCTTTTATACCTTCGGGACATATATGTCCCTTACTTATAAAAAAAATCATAACTTTAAGATAAATAGTCGTATCGATTTCTATCTTAGCTTATTTTAAAGAGAAAAGTTAAGTCTACAAGTAAAAAAAGTATGTAGTATAGCTTTAAATTTAATATTTAAAATATAAAATTTAAGAAATTAATAAAAATTGTTTATTAAATTTAATATTTTCGATAAAATATAATCTAAAATCTATATATATATATATAGTCTATTATCTAAACTTTTCAAAGAATTCAACTTTTAACTAGCATATTGATAACATCTCTTTAGACTTCTCCGTTTGCTTAGCGAATTCATAGAAGAGAGAAGTATTTTGTTAGCAAGTAAAACTGTTGCCTATAAAAGTTATATAACTACATAATTATGTCGACAATTATCAATAACATAGACGGCATAGCAGATTTTCATCTGAAGTGAAAAATGCGCGTGTTCAGAAGTACCTTGTAATCACTAGCTGAGATCTATTATTTCGAGTGAAAATTTTTTATATTTTATTTGTAATTAGTGATGAGAAAAAGTTTCTCTCTCTCTCTCTCTCTCTCTCTCTCTTTCTATATATATATATATATATATAAATGAGGTTCATATTTCAAATATATTAATATTTAAGTTTTTTACTACCGTATTAAGTCTGTCTTTTTGAATTCAGTTTTTGATAGTAAATTTGGAATCAACGCCTTCAAAAACTGCCGTAATTGTCTCAGCATATCTCTTTTGGATAAGTCGGAAGTACAAAAGGGTTAATGAAAACAAAAGTTCTACTCGGCGCTCCTAAACAACAGAAAATATACGAAATGCCACCTGTAGATTCTAAAGAGAATCTCTCGGCAATGTTAGTAGGTTAAGTCATCAAAAGAGGTTAATATAGACTTCAGAATATCAAAATAAACGTTAAATAGAATATTGAGGTCGAAAGTAGGATCAGAATTCTGGCACACAAACCGAATTTTTGCTCTAATGTAATATTCTCGACTTTCTGAAGTGCTAAACTTACTAGGATTTAGAATATATTTTGAGCAAATTTCATGCTTATGATGAGCTCAGGAAATAGATTTGCAGATACTAAATTTACGAAGTAACTTATGAAGTACTTGAAGCGAGCAACATTTACATGAATGCAGTGTGTATTCTTCTGTGTGCACGGCATATTTGCGGGTCTTGATTCCATATTAAAAAACAATAGAAATCATAGAATTTACTATTTTGTAACATACACCACCGTCCATTGTTTATAATACATCTAGCAGCTTCTTTGTTTCATGGCTGCGCGCTCGTTCTTCTCCGTTTTCAGAGATACGTTCCTTTAATTTTTGTTAGAAATAAAACACTGCGTACTTGTTTGCATTATTGAGAAATTCTCGTCTCCACAAGTTACTCACAGATCTCGTGATTCGCTGATTAAACATATGAACTCAATGCGTGTATCGAAATGAACGGTAGCGTATCACATTCTTCTTTTTGTCCGTTTATAATATGAATTCGAGATCGTTTAGAGAGAATAGTTTATCGTACATTTTATTTCGTTAATTACTCTCAAGACGATTAATCGCTGATGGCGTATCCAAATTTTGACTGCACGTTGCTTTTTCTTTTGGCACGACAATTGAATTATCTCGATTATCACGATGCGATATCGTATTTATCGCGCTGTTATATATTTACAAGACTCGAGAAATGCTGGTCGGACAGAGAATCCCGATCTTCTGTATTCTACACGGAGAGAGAAAAGTTATGTTACATCATCTTTGTTCACCGTAACGGTGTTGGTCAAGCGATTAGACTATATCTCTTAGTTCCTTTCCTTTTTCTTTTTTTTTTTACATGTAAATATACAGTATTTACAGGAATCCGAAAAGAAGGACTGTCACACCGTAATCGGCCGCGGAATATAGACGAGTAGACGGATCGAATAGTAAGATGTAAATTATCGATTATCGTTTTGCTTATCTCGTGTCTTCGATGGATCGTTGGATCGCCATCGATTATCTTCTTTTACGAAGACGATTGCATCAATCACTTAACATTTAGGTAACATTCAAGTTCGCTACGTTGAGGTGCACTATCATTCGTAGTGTAAGGAATGGTGTCTTAAGTGTCAGAATTGGCAGAGTAATGAACAATTTTTGCCGTCTCCGATAATCTGAATTCGCGTGAAATTTGCAGTAGAAACGCGCGTTTAAGCTGCAAAAATACGTAGTATATACAGAGAAGATATTGTAGCAAAAATTTCTAGCTAAAATTATATTTCATTTTTACAATATTTGGCGTAAAACTCTCTATCCTGAAATTAGTAGTATATATAAATTACTATAGAAACAGTAAATTTAATGACCTAGTATATATACCAGATATAGGAAATTATAAAAAAAATTCGGTTACAATAATTTTGTAATAAAAGTCAAACGTTCATGACATTTTTTTAAACAAATGCACAGAAAAACATATTTTTGTTTGGAGAATATTTTTATTGTTAATATTTTAAAAATAAAATGTTAAAATGAGATTATAGGACGTTGAACGAAAATAAATTAGTCTTCAATCAAGACGAATGTAGTAAAATTATCATTTTTTCATAGAATATTACAATATTATATATTTTTGCTTATACATATTATTAGTCTACAATCAAGACAAATATGGTCAAATTAATATAATCATTTTCTTATATATAACTAACAACATTGATATTCTTACTTATATATATGAAACTATGTATGAAAAAATAATTTTGTTAATTTGATTGTTCGTTCTGACTGAATACTAATAATATATAATAAAAAATATTAATATTGTAATATTCTATGAAAAAATAATTGTATTAATTTGACTATATTCGTTTTAATTAATGATTAATTTTGTTCAACGCTATATATAATCTCATTTTAACATTAATCTTATTTTTAAAATATTAACAATAAAGATATTCTTCAAACAAGAATATTCCCTTTTTCTGTATATACAATAAAATACAGTAATTTTAGTCAGATATTTGAGTCGCAACAAACAATAATCTTAGTTATATTTATATATGGTCCAAAATTTTCTTGTGTTATTTTTACTACAATATTTTCTCCATGTACGTTATAATGTAAACACACTGAAGAAAAAATACTTGAAAATTATCTGTAGGATATCAAGTTTATTTACAAAAATAGACTTCACATTTCGCAGAAGTAAATTTCCAAGTATTTTTTCTCAGTATGTGTGTGCCTCGAACTAAATAACGTGATGAAACTTATGAGTGAACGGCGAAATAAAATCGATCATTAGAGAAGAATAGAAAACAATAAAAAACAAAAATATGCAAATCATATCTTTATTATGATAGAAACTTAATAAAGAGAAAAAAATTATACGAAAGTGTACGACACCACATATCGAGAGATAAATGCGTTTTTTCGTCATTCGCCAGATCACGGAAGTGCGATGGAGAATCGACGAGAACGACGAAATCGTTGATGTAACGGACGTGGTTTGACGTAAAGAAGAAGCGCGACGATTGTCCGCCGCTTGAGTAAAATTGCGGAGACACGGGAAATCGATCAGGCGATCTCTCGCAGAGATATATAAAACGAGTTAACGGACTAACTAACTAACTTAACGCATATAATACTAAATATATAACTTTCAAGCGAATCGCTTCAATACGTGTCACGTGATCCGTATATTCTTTGTCGAGACTGCGGTCATCTCAGCGGAAGGATATCGGATCAGGTTGCACAACTTGAGTTAATACGATATACGGGCCGGAAGTACCGGGTTTAGCAAATTGTTTCGCCGATTTTCGTATTAGATGTCATTTGAATGTGTGTCACATCGCGTGCCCGTTCTTTACAATTCTTGTGATCGAGCGACAACGTGTGTTAACGACAAGTTGTCGCTTCGCAATACGCAATCTCGAAAGTAAATATCTAAGAAGATTACTTGTTTAAAATAATTCGGCGAAAAATATTTCTGACTGAATCAGTAAAAGGAGTGCATTAATCGACAATCAATGAGTATTCACTCATTTCCACTTACTGTTCTATCTCACCGACCAGTGCAAGTAAAATTTCACTGCCAATCTCTGTATATTGAGAAAAAAAATTTGACAATTTATTTGTGGTACACAGGGTGGACCATCTTAATCAATTTATTGAAATTTTTTAGAACTTTGAGACCAATATGTTTCAGACAAAAGTTGAATGGACTTTACATCCTACAGATAAATTTACAAAATTACAAAATAAATTATAAAATATTTTTTTCTCAGTGTAATACACAAATGTGTCATACGCAGTTTCAATTTTTATAGATTAACGGCTTCCATACACCTTGCATGCAATAACATTATCTGTGTTTGCAAACTGCATCAATGCACAGGAACACATTCGCTGCTATCAATTGATCCTTTTAGCGAGATTCTACCGATAACAGTACTGTATTTCTAACTGAACTACTAGCTATAAATATACGGAGAGAACGTTATAATTTCTTTTCAATTTTACTATGTTTTTAGTAATGCAGAAATAGACTGCAATATAGTAAGGTCTATTTTGTTAAGGAACGTAGTAAATTTCACTAGAAACATAGTAAATTTTTTTTTCCATTAGAAACATTTCAGTTCCTAAAATATAAGTTAGCACATATCAAACGAAAGGATAATTAATTACGACAGAATGTCAGTCTGTCTTTAATTATAAAATTCTATAGTAATTTTTATTAAAAAATTCTCTCCGTATATAGTCATTTCAGTGAAAAATACACTGATTGCACTTTAGAAAGTGTAATTAAAGATAATCAAAGAGAGTATTATTATATAAAGAGAGTATTATAATACAAAGAGAGTATTATTATTCGATTCTCTCTCTCTCTCTCTCTCTCTCTCTCAACTTAGTTTTGCTAAACCCGTTTCCGTGCACGCGTTACAAAACAGCTCGCGCGGAATTATAATGGTCGGTTAACTTAACTCTTCATGTAGTAACGAAGCATGACTAAACGGCACTATCGTCACAACGGATCGACGTGGTGAACTTGCGAAACCGATGTTCCCTCGGATGAGTCGGGAGACGATGAATTCGTACAGCGAAACGTCGAACGTACGGCTGCCGAAACGGCACGGCGAAAAACGACGAACAACGCGGGCGTTCGCCCGCGATGAATAATCTCGTTAATTACATCAATGTCTATTCGACTATCTATCGTTACGCGAAACGGAATTTACGGGAAACCCCGTGTTAAACGTCTCGAGTGTGAAGAGGGACGTGATTCGGAACGTGTCAGTATGACGTATTTTGCATTCATGCTCGAATCGCTTAGCAACAGGTTACAGGTCGTGCGATCGATCCGGATCGACCGTAGAGATAGCGATTTTGACAGCGCATTTTGATACCAGCGGCGTCTTCCGAAGAACCTTTCTCACCTTCAAAACTGAGACGTTACGCTTCGAAAGTCGGTGATACGATCGCTTCTGATCTTTATTTTTCGCAACGTGAAAAATTGTATTTATTTCAAGGATCGCTCGAATTGTGCGCTTGGAATTTCAGCGATTGATTTTCCTTTTTTTGTTTCGTGTATAGATACTCTCTTAAAGCGAATCAGTAAAAATATTTTCGATTGAATCACTGAAAGGACCATCTCGCCGATAATCAGTGAGTAATCGCTGGTTGTCCGTGGAAACACTTTATTGCTCCACCCTATGTCTTGATTTGTCTGATTTTGAGCAATGGAAGTAAGATGCAAAATCTGCAGTGCACAAATTCGTTATACGCTGAATTCAGCTTTCTACACTCGCGATGATGGAATTAACGGCATTCGTGCAATTTGCATGGCGATGGCGCTGTCCGCGTTTGCAAACTGCATCGATAACAGTCGCTACTATCGACTGATCCTTTCACTGAATGCAGCGCTACACTTGTAACTGGATTATCAGTCACAAATATTGCACTTGAGTGAAGAATGAAACTGATTGTACTTTAGAGAGTAAGCGCATGTGAGAGACAGCGTCTTGAATCGTATTCTCAAAGAGACACCCCGTACAATTCACGCGTACTTTATATTCCTGAACATATATCGGTGCTTCGAGAAAATATCGCGGGCTAATCAAACACGCGGGCCAGCGCGCGTAGGGAAAACACACAGTTCGTTTAATCGCAAATTTCCCGGCGGTAAAATGTGCGTCTCGCGGCGACGGGGAGGATCTCGAATATTGCCCCGGCTGCGACTTTCCGCGAACTTGTTCGCGCGCTGTTGTCGAGTTCGAGCATGAATAAACACGCGGAACCGTCGCGGAACCAGCGCGCGTAAGGTTTATAAATATTAACAGCCCAAGTTCAGTTAGCACGCGCTGTGCCAACCGCGTCTACTCGCACGGTGCACAGAGTCGTCCTGAGTTGAATTTTTGCGCGTCGACCCTACGGCGACGGGGATTGTCACCGTTGACGAGTGTTGTTTTCGCCGAGTTTCCGCTCCGAATCGATACAAGGGCGCTCCAAGGGCCGAAGGACGCCTCCTTTCGACGTGCCTCCTCTCGATACACGTGCGGTAGACACGGTGTGTACGACGGACACCTGGCCCGCCGATGGAGGGATGGAGAACATGCCGGGGTACTGTTTGTTACGTGAGTGGATGGGTGTGTGTAGATTGTGTGTGTATGTGTGTATGTGTGTATACAACGGGGGATCAATATGGCCAAAGTGGCACGAGTCATGACCACCGTTTTAACGGCCGATTGGAGCAAGGGAAAGTTTATTGTATACTCGCGTGTCGTATGGCTGCCGTTTCCAGTCACGGCGGTGAGTTGGTTGGTTTGCTTGTTGTGCGGTGAAGCCGATTTCTCTTTCTCGTTCACCGCGCCCCCACGACGACGACATCACGTCGATCGACTCTTAATGATGATCTCGACGCATCGCGCTCGTTTGTGAACTTACGGCGGCGGATCGTCTTTCCCTCACGGCGAAACGTATCGACTTCTGAACACCCATAAAAATGTAATCTCACTCTCGGTGGAATCCCCTTATGCTGCGGCTTCAAGAGGATTCTTCTAAAACCAAACCGAAGAATGCTCCGAACGCTCGGAGAAAAAGAAAGAATCCTAGTTGCAAGGTGTTGTTTTTTCTGTAATCCCGTATTCTAAGCGAAAATCCTTGTCGGGGGAGGAGTATTTCCCTTCTAATGAAGAGGAACAACATAGTACTGAGAATACTTTCTTGTTGGTTTTAGAAGAATTCTCCTGAGGCTGTGTATACATGGTGTCCCAGACTCTCCTCCGCAATTTTTGTGGGAACGGATTGAGGTGAACATAAAAGTCCCATACCGTTTTGCGATATTCGCAATAAATCTCGAGATATTAATTAAGAAAGATTGGTAAACGATCACGCGCGATTGATGAGCTACAGTGGCGCCGTCTATTATTGCATACTTATACTTTCAAAACAAAAAAGTCACTCTACCATTTTGCAAATAACCATATAGATTTTTAGATATTAATTAAAGAAGATTTATGCATTATCGCGTACAATCATGTAACAATTTTCTTTTATTGATAACTAAAAATCTACGCGTTTATTCTGATTGATAAAGAGTTTTTTTTGTTCAATTTGATCTAATGTACAGCACACATCGCCACTACATCGCTCATCTATCATATCGTGTGTGATCATTCACCAATCTTATTTAATTAATATCTCGACTATTAATACGAATATTACAAAACGGTATAGAACTTTTGTGTCCACCTCAATCCGTTTTACGTTCCTACAGAAATTGCGGAGAGTCTAGGACACCCTGTATAAGAAGATTGCCGAGATTATTTCTTTTTTTGGATGAACGAGGCATTAAAAATTATGAAGGAATGGGGAATAACGAATGGGGAAGCGTAGGGTTTCATCGGTACAGTCCGAGCGAGGGGACAGAAGTAATCGGGACGCACTCGAATCGACTGAAGATGAGCACGTGAAAAACGGTCGTTCTGTTTCGCGTATCATCTCGCGCTCGGTTTGCGCTACAGTCGGGCAAAATGGAAGTGCGGTTAACCACGATTAGGGACGACAGTGGATGTCGAACATGCGATCGGCCGTTGTGGCGTCTCGAGAGGGATCGAATCGCGAGCAGCAGGCAACGCGAATGAGACCCCAGTGTTTGTCCCGGGAGTATCGATTCTCCGTGGAGTATTCGTGAGTGCCGTTTTGAGTGTCACTCTCGTGATCGCTCTCGTTGACTCGTCGCCTCCAAAACCGGATAGCTTCTGGCACAAGTCCTGGCTCCGATTTGAGAATATCCGCTTTATACGGCAGAATCGCTCAATTAATCTCGCTGTTCTTCTATCGGAGTGGCTCAAATCGGCAATTCCAAAGTGGAGAATCTAATTATCGGAAATATTAATGAAAAATATACTGCTGCGCTCTCTCTCTCTCTCTTTCTCTCCATCTTTGTACACGATATTTTATATCCGCGCGCTTGAATAATTCACGGAAAACTCGAAGCGAATGCCTTCGCGTCTCGCGATTCTCAAAATGAAGAAGGAAGAGGGAGAGATAGGGGGAGGGGAAGAAACGCGAAATTTTGATTTTTCGTAACGAAGTAAATACGTTTCGCAGACGGTAACGTCCGGATGAAACAACGAGACGTTCCCTTTGACGTGATGAAGACAAACGTTACATCGGATGCTCCGTGACGATATACTGCGACACTCTCTCAGTCGAAAAATTCCGCTGCCGGACGCTCGCGTTGCGCAACGACCAGTATCCCCTCGTCGACGTCGTCTGGTAGTGAGAGAAATTGACTTTAATTTATAGAAAAAAATGCGCAACGGAACAAGTTTGCTTCTCTATTCGTGAATCTGTTGAAATTGTAAGCCCGGTTGTGCACAAAGTTTCAGTTTGTGCAACTGAATAGAGGGAGAGAACAAAAGAAAATTTAGTGACGAGAAATTATATCTCTGCCACTATACAACCGAAAAAATTTGTCTGAACGTTTAACTCTATTAAAACTTTGTTACAATAACAAAGAGTAATTGATCGAGTAAAAGCCTCCTGCTAGAATTTTTTTGTTCACTGAGAGAAGAATACTCGAAGATTTATTTGTGACACAAAGCTTGTTTCTGAAAAATAAAGTTGATGTTTGCGAAATAAACTCTTATCCCACAAATAAATCTTCAAGTATTTTCTTCTTACATGTATACAGCCGAGTTCTTCATCCCCATTCTTATCAGGCAGTGAAAAATTCAGTTACACCAGCAAAACTGTTTCTTCATGTATCATTCGTCCACTTCGAGTGATTGGGGATTTGACACTGAAAAAATTATTTTTGTGTTTGGAACTAATATCTGATACATGCGATTCGGTTGGCACATTATTATGTTTTTGTCTCAAATACAAAAAAGGCCAATAAGAATGTGCTAAGGAAAGAGACACGCGTAAAAATTCAATATTAAAAATTTTAAATGTTAAGACCCGTTTGTGTATTATGAGCACAATTATAAATATTATAAATATTATAAGTATGAGCACCGCTTTATACAATATTATTACAAATATTTCCGTCAGCATTTGGACCCTTTTCAATATAAAAACCGCTAAATATCGACAATCTCACATGATGATCAGAACAAGAACAAACTACGGGGATGAAGATCATGACCTACCTCATCTCATAAAATTTCAATGCTACTGTTGGATATCGAATTGGTAAAAATTATCACAATTACAATTGTCCTACAATGCAGTACCAAATATATGTTGCATTCGTTTTTCTGTTAAGAAGCAACGTTGTCAGCGCATTGCTTTTATCGGTCTTTTTTATATCTGAGATTTGTAATCACAGAGCTTTATTTGCATTCTTTTACTTGTATCACGTGGGATATATTAGTCAGACGGCAAAAGCGGCAATTAAATTTTTTTATTGTAATTACCAAATGATTCGCTTGGTCTCACATTAACTAGATTTTAGCCCGATGATACCACATTTCGACAACAGAATTTTTTTTTCAGTGTATTTGTGGGTTAGAGACTCGGCTGTAGGAAAGATACTTGTAGAAGATTTCTGTTCAGTCAATTGCTCTCAGTGATCTCAACCAAGTTCTCATACAGCTGAATGTTCAGATGATTGTTTTTCTCGCAACAACGGATATATTATTACTCGGTTTTGTGAGAGAAATGCGAGTTTCTCGCCTGGTTCAGTCAGCCCAACTGAAACTTTCTCTCCGTGTGATCGCGCAAGAAATTGTTTCCACCGTCTTCCCGAGAGTGATATTGCTCGCGCACGAAGCGCGCGATGCGCAACAATGGACTACTCTCGGGGGGACAATCAATTTCTCTCATTACCCGACGAATCGGGCGTTAATCGATTGGACGGTACCGTAGGAACAGGACGGCGGTCGTTGCGCCTCGCCGGGTGACCCGCAGGCGAATTTGCAAGCCGGAGGATCCGAAAGCGCGTCACGCGAACGCTGCGTTGTTATCGCTGCGTCGTCGTTCTCCCGATGGATCGCGGAGGATCACAGGAAGATCGCATCCGATCGTTTAACGTCGTTAGCCCCGGTCGGGTAGCAAAGAAGAAGATCCTTCGCGTCCTTCTCCTCTTCTCCATTGCCCCTGTCCAGGAGGATCCGCTCGCCGGATGATAAGCTCCGCGTCGAAACCTCGTTGACTCGATCAACGCAGCCGGTTAGCATCTACGAAGACGAGATGCTACACTGCCGTGGGGGCTCGCGATTGTCAATGCCACTTCGCCTTTTGCGCGAATATGTCCGCGCGCAGGTTCTGCGCGAAGCAGATCCCCAATATCTGAAAACAGCGAGAGAGAAACAGCTGGTTATTTTCTTCGCGAGTTCGTCCACCACAGCCGTCCACCACGAAGCGAATCGATCGTCGTATTTTCACAGAATATTCGCACTCATGTGTGTATCTTCTCTCCTTTTTTTTCTTTTCGTTTTTCTCTGCGCGACGGGCAACTTGTGAATTTTTCCCGCTGCTGCATATAAGACGGCAGTCGTGTATTTTTTCGATTTATGGCGAAATAATTGAATGCATTTTTCATTATGCCCGTCGTGTCGTATTTCGGATACTTATTTTGCTTCGGATAATTGACTCGTGAATGAAAAATGAGCGCGACACGAAGTCTGTGGAAATGCGAGCAGTGCGATGCTACTCAGGGCGTTGTATAGAAATTTATACAGAAAAGAGGCAGTAGTACACATCGAGAGCGCTGATGCAATTGGAAATAAGCGAGTCTCGATTTGCATCCGTTTGTCTTGCGTTATCTGGCAGTCTCATTACTCATGCTTAGTGTCAATGCACGTTACGCACGCTGGGACAAGACGTCCGTAACTCCGTAAATAATTGTTATACACGATATGTATACATATACATAATACGCAATTAGACACGTGTGTATCTATTGGCATGTATCTATATCGGGGGAACACTCGGATAATTAATTAGATAATTCATCACACCGAGATGCAATTAATAGATGCAGTTAATAAGATCTATCGTAAGATACACAACGAACAATATCAACATGCCTTCTTCGTACCTACTACATGACACACACACACACACACACACACACACACACACACACTGTACAACGGGGGAGGGGGAGTTTGCGTTGTAAATAAGCTCTAATTTAGAGTCCTTTAATGAAATTCAGAGGGTTCAATATATTACACTGATAAACGCACTTGCATCGCCTGCGCTACACGTATTACTATGTATCTCACATCTACTTTACATCTTTCCGCGTGTAACCCCCGCTACGAATGAAGTAACAGTCAATGTACATAGCTATAGAATACAGGCTGAAGTTCCTCTCTTTCTCTCTCACCTTATTTCCTCAGGGAGGAGGGGAGCACGCACAACGCCTCTATAACGTTCCCGCAGTGGTCCGCATCGACGAATGCATTACGAGAAACGCGCTAAAATCTCATTTTAACACTTTGAATCGATGACGCCAATCTTAGTCAAGCGCGTCGCGGCAGAATATATCTGAATCGCAAATTGTAAATTACACAAGTCGCGCCAAGACTCCGAGTTTCCTTTCCCCCGTTACCGAGACGAATTTTAAGAGGACCGCAATTACCGAACGATGTAAAACACGCCGAGCTATTTAAATCTCGGAATAGAATAGCTCGGAAATTTTCCAAGAGGATTCTCCGCCGCGTCTCGTGACGTTTCAACCGCGGGCGCTCCTGTTACTCGTTTTCAACACTCCCCTAAAAAAACATCATCTTACTTTCAAAGGATATCCTCTTATATATGGCCTCAAGAGGATTCTTTTAAAAGCAAAAGGAAAATATTCTAAGCACAATATTCTTAACAAGTTCACTTTCTTAAAGTGAATCAGCAAAAATGCACTGAGAGAATAAATCAAGGTACATAGAAACAAATATTACGCGTGATATTTTCTCCGATGTTTATTTGAAATAAAAAAAATTTAGCTATAATGCAAAAATATATATTTCTGTGAAATTATATACCTAAGTGTAATGATCAATTGTAGGCGAGGAAACTGTCATTTTAAGCTTTGAATATCATTATGCTGAGTGAAACGTGGCAAGAGGTAGTATCATGAAGTTAACTTCATGAAGTTAACATTTATTATTTAGACAATGTAATAAGTACATGAAAACGTAACGTTGTTCGATAACTGGTCAATTTAAGGGGAGCTCTCTTGCGTGAACTAGCAAATTTAAGAATAGTATCACTTGATAATAAATCCCTTGAACGCGTCTTGAAAATATATACCTAGTGAGTAAACTCCTTGAAGTTAGAGAAGAATTTTATCTTTTATTTACAGTATAAATTTCGTCCTTAACAGAAATTTCTTCTAGCAAGAACGTATTCTGCTAAAAGTAAACATATCCCTCTCAATACAAAAGGAAAAAATATATCCAATTAATAGTTCACTTCAATAGAAGAGAAGTACTTTTTTTGGTGCGAATTTTCAGTTAGAATATGAGATTACAGATAATATTTTGTAACTAGAGTTTTTTTTGCGTGTTAGAATATTTTCCTGTTGGTTTCAAAGAAATTCTCTTGAGGCCACATGAAAGGATATCCGCTAAGAAGATTATGCATTTTTTGGATGAATCTTTGACAAGAAGAAAATCTCTATGTCAGCGTCATTTCTATCATAAAATTCTGCAAATTTTCGCCGCAAATATTTCCATTCTAGCGACTTTACCAATTATGTACCTTTTCCCTAGCGTAAACTCGTGAAAAATGAAGAACGTGAAAAAAAGCTCACTATTTACATTGTTCGAGAAGTTACATGATCGTCGAGTTCACGTGGAATTTTCCAATTTTCACGTTTCCACTTTTGAGAAAAAGTTACATAATCGCTGCCCCGAGCTCGCGACGAACGTTATTATTTAGCCGTGCCGGGCATTAGACGCGGCGGATTCAAAGTGTTAGTCGCTTTGGTAGATTTCCGCGGTGCTCGCCGAGGGTCTTTCGATGCGTGTTGAAGGTCGAACCTTTCTTACACTTACACTAATGCGTCTCTCACCGACACGTACCTGAGTAAACGCCGTACCGACCGCGCCGCTGGCAATCGCAAGGAGATTTCGCTCCATCCATTCCTCGCCGGCCTGTATGCAACCTTTTTCGTAAATCACTTTGGCGACCTCAAAGCTCTGAAAAAAGAAAGGAGACGGCTGGCTACTCGGCTTACCGTGGTACACGCCCTTCGCGATAGGATTACGATCACGGTCGTTAGTCCGGGACAATTTGGTGAACGATCGGTGCAGAGTCAGTTTTGTTCCATAAAGGTTTTCCCGTGGAGAAAGTGAAAGGATCTAACAGTGCGGAGTTGGCTCATTTATGTAACCCCGCGCCGTTTTTACCGTCGATCGCGCGTCAATCGGCTGCTACCTCGGCGCGCGTTGTCGCAATCCGTTTGGTCGCGAGACACGCGCATTTCGCCATTTCGCGCGCGTTGCCGCAATAATCGGGACTTGATCCTTCGAACACGCGCCGTATGGTATCTCGTGGGTCGTTACGACAGCTTCGCTCGCGGTGTTTCCGCGATAAAAGAGGAATGAAGACGTATGGCATTCATCACGAACGTATTGCGACATCAGCGACGAGTCAGCCCTCCGCTTCGAAGATCAACCGCATGCTCCTCCGAAGGACGTCACGAAACGATAAAGTCCGGACTCGCCGTCGTCGCGAAATGCTGCCGACGAAGAACGTACGAAAGGTCGGACCATCTTTGCCTTTACATCCCACCGACCGAGATCAGCCGCAAGACCGTCGCTGCTCCGTGTTAAGTGAAAACTCAATAAGGCGCCTCTCTCGTTCGGTCGCCACGTTTCCTCTCCGTTCTCCGTAATTCCGTTGCCACTGCACCGCGTGGGCTATACCGTGTTATTCAGCTCTCTCGAAAAAGAAAGAGAGGGAAAGAGAAAGACAGTATGTTTCGTATGTCACAAGAGTGACGTCCACGAGGAAACGATATTATCCCGCATTGGCTCTCTCCCTCTCTCTTCATCTCTCTTTCTCTCACCGTCATTTTCTCGACCCGGACAATAAATTCCGCCGCTTAAATCTTCGAGCAGGGGAGATTCTCCCTCCGGCCGGTAACTTCAATTTCCACTCATATAAAGGTAGAGACCTAATTTATGGGGACGGTGCTCGCGCGAGGGGAGGAGCGGATCATAAAACGGGGATCCAGAGGAAGGAGCGAAAACTCCGCGACCGGAGGGAACCGCTGGAAGCAAAAGGGAACGAGGGGGCCACGTACGTGCCCGGAGAGATATACGGGTACAGAGTAGGACGAAGGAGTATACGGAAGGACGCGGCATGTGTGTGGGATGTTATTTGGAGGAGAGGACGGCGGAAGGTCGAGGGTTACACGGGGTCTCTGAGTAACAAGCCCACTCTGTTACGCCATGCCTGGCGCGTTTACCCTGAAGGAGCCTTTAAAGTAACCGTGCCGGGCTCTTCCAGTGCCGGCTACTTCATTTGCACCTTGTTCCGTCCGACTCGACTTTTCCGACCTTCTCTTTCTGTCCTTCTTTCTCTCTCTTTCTTTTCTCTCTCTCTCTCTCTCTCTTTCTCTCTCTTTCTCTCTCTCTCTCTCTCTCTCTCTCTCTCTCTCGTCTGTCTCTCTTTCTTCTTTCCTTCTTTCCCCCTATTCGTCTCACGATACGCGGCGATATTGTGCGAGCCCCTCATTAGCGGGGCGTTAGACGCTCTAATTACTTAAGAGTTTTCGCCCCGATGTAGCGAGCTGATTCCCTTCGCGCCCCTCTTCCTCCATCGCGTCGAAGGATTTCGCGCGCGGGAAACTCTGCTAATTTATTCCGGCTGTTCGACGTTGCGCTAATACGGCGAAGCGACCGACGACGGCGACGAGGACGACGATATCGGGCGGTACTCGTGGAGGGTAAAGGATTCTAGGCGAGAGAACGGAAGAACGAGGGTCCGCCGTGTGTACGCAACGTGACTTCGGTTAAGCGCGATTAATTGAGGCCGGGACGCGGAGTTGCGCGCGTGGCGAGAATTCTCCTCGGCACTGGGGAGGAAAGATTAATTGAACGCTGGAGAAAGTCCACCGCGAAAGACGTACGTCGGGCGTCATGTGAGCGCCTCGGCGCTCGCCTTAGATTCGAGGTTCACCAGGAATTTCCGATCCTATGCACATCCACCCGCTTCCGCTTTTGCGCGCTATCAACCGTGCGCTGCAATTATCGTACACGCAGAAAAATAGCGTTTTACTCTGCTGAGAAAAGCGGTTACTTAGTTGACTTTCTTTCTTTTGAGTAATGGATAGAGTTCCTCGAGTCAAAGTTAGGACTTTGTTCATCATTTGTAAGAAGGAAATGTGCGAATGAGTGAGTGAGGGAAGCTGATGCGTCATTTCAGTCTTGGAGTTTCTCTTTTATTCCTGCTCGTTTCCCTCGTATTCCCATTCACATCTGCCTTAAAAATGGCTGAATAATGCAGACTCATCAGGAATCATTATGCTTCGTTTTAACTCTGACTAAAGGAATTTATAGTAATGAGTAGCTTTGACAAAAAATGTTTTCTCTTCACAGTTTACATAAGATATTTTCTTTTAATAGTTTTAAAATATACTCATTCCAAATTTTAAATACGTTTCTTTTCAGTTATGGTTTATAGTGAGAGCAAACCGGATTTTTGTCTTAATTTAATATTCTTGAGCAAAATACTAATAGAATTCGAAGTGTATTTCCAATAAATTTGATACTTGTGATGAATTTATGATAGATTTGCGGATATATAAACTTGTGAAACATTTGAAACAAGTAATATTTGCTCGAATGCAGTATGCATTTTTCTGTGCGCCTTTAAGGAAAGCGGAAGATGAGAGGCGTGGGGAGAGTATAATCAGGAATTATCGCTTTCTAGTGCATTTACGCGCGATTTTTCGTCGCGACGCGTTTCCGCGCTGTTATCAAAACCTTATCGAAAAATTATCGCGTTAAAAAGTTACTGGCGATCGTGCGGATCTCCTCAAGGTAGTAGCCTCTCTCGCGAGTGTTTTTCTCCTTTTTCTTTTCTATCCTTTTTTTTTTCATTGCTGGACAGCGTACGGCGATAGCAGCCTCCCTATTTTGGTGGCACCATAATCTGCCGTATTAGCATAGATAGCATCGCAATTCTAGCGGTACAATCGCGCGCGCTAGTATAGATAAGCGTGCGATTATAGCGCGGCATAATCCCGGACTCTAGCGCGCTAGTATAATCCCGTGATTTTAGCGTAATATGATCCCGCGCCTCCATAGCCGACTCGGCCTGCTCGTAATTCCGGCGTCGCGTAATCGCGCATGCGACGTTACCTTATATAGCCGCGATACAGTACGTGAAGTCTAGAGCATACATCCGAGTCTACGTGGGCGATCGTACAGGAATATAATATATCGCGACGGTGCGAGTTGGTGAATACCGCGGAAACACATTTTCTTAAATCGACGAATCGATATGTTAGCCTAGGGAGCGAGAGAGTGATAGAGAGAAACAGGAGGGAGAGAGAGAGAGGGAGCCGGTTAATTTCGTAGATACATATTGACGCACCGACAGTGACGGTAATCGCAATCCAATTGCAAATGTAATTATAAATTTCCCGATAATTTTCGATTAAATGTGTCAATTAATGTGATATTAATGCACGCCGGCTCGCCGGCCGATATGTCAACGATACGCAATTTTGTCGCGCGTAATTGGACGCGAACGTTGTCGAAATAACAGTAAAACTCGTTGGCCGCAAAATTGAAATTTGAATAATTACCGTAGAATTAATAGAAAACTGCATTACAAGAGAGAGAGAGAGAGGGGGAGAACGGAGAGAGCGAGTGAGGGAGACAGGGACTCGCATTTATGATGCGCAAACTGGTTCTTCGGACATTTGTTGTGCGCATCGGAGGAAGAAAGTATAATCGCCCGGCCGTCAGGATTATACAGTGAGCTGGCAGTAATTTAGCGTACTGATTACGAGACAGGAAAAAACTCGTATTATTGCATCGCGTGCCACGTTCATATGAGCGCTTTTATACAATACTTATACGTTGCTCGTGCGCTTATGACTTACACTCCCATCTTCATTAATGTGTATAATATGTCCAACTACGCGAGGAGTAGCTGTCGAGAGGGAAAAAACAACAAAGAAACGCAGCTACTTATAAACGTAGCTACTTATCGAATGAAATCATCGTGTGCGTGACGCGATTAACGATACTTCTTCAAAATTCTGCATAAACACACGAAGAGAATTTCATGATACAAGATAATATAGAATTTTGTAAATATAGAGTTTTGTAAAATTTTGCGTTAGAATAGATCGACATTTAGCAGTAATGGACTGTTCTTTTGTTTAATATATGCTATTAAAATATTTACCATATTTCTAACGAAATTTATTATGTTCCTAAAAAATATAACTGACAGTCTACTCCAGGACTATTCAAAACATACAGTAAAACTGAAGAGATTTTATGTGAGAAAAGAAAACTTTAATATCCTTCTCGTAGAAATATCGTTTAACTTCAAAAAGAAGAAAAAAGAGAACTGAATTTTTTATTTATTCTACAATATCAATTAATTATTTCCTCAGATTTTGCGAGATGTATCAGCTGGGAGATATAGTTTCTGCATGATTAGAGAGAGAGAGAGAGAGAGAGAGAGAGAGA